TGCAAGTTTTGGTTCTCAGCATTGTGTGTGAGTTTCATAAAATTTAAATGAGTAAGAATGTGGAAACTAAAATAGGACGGACGGTCAAGGGTAACACTTAATGCCCCCTTCGCCTAGTAGCGCTGACAAATAATAAAATCATATGTAATAAAATCGCCAAAAAATTGAACTATCAAAAGCATTAAATGACCAGTACCATTTACAGTTCAATGCCTACGTATACATAATCTAAATATGTAGCAGGAAACTAATTTTGTTGTAGACAGACGAAAATTTAAGCTACGATTTCTAAAGAAAAGTGACTTCATACTAATTGCAAAACACAGTGAAAGTGGGTGTGGCAATAAATACAACAGATGCTACATGTGTTGAATACTTAGTGAAAAAGAACCATATTAGGGTGATCCATTGGTTTAATGATTCTGCTAGTGTATATTGTATTTACATTCTAAGCAGGTTTTTAGTAATAAAGGTCTTTACATCAGGTCTCAAGCCCAGTTAAAAGAAAACAAATACCAGTATTCATTTAAATTCAATAATCTTTCATATTATTAATACATTGTATATCAATTGGCATAAGTAATTGAAATTATTTTTGGCACATTTAATTTATGAATTTTAGAAAATTTATTTTCCAAAACATTACATTGATGCAACCAGAGACATACAATACAAGAGATTCGCAACTCTAGTAGAAATGTATTATATGTCTCTGATGCAACGTAGAACTCTTATAGTAAAAATCCTTATTCAATATCAAATAACGAAGAGACGAATTATGAATGATTGCATGGGAAAACTATTTTCAGTTATTATCACTTTGACACTTTATATCATTTCTATGAATTACAGGCTTTCATTTCCATGAATTACTTCAACAGGTTATTAAACTTTAAAGGCCATCTTTACTAAAAGGGGTCGTCAGAAATAGTTAATTCTGAAAACATCTGAAAATGTAATATTAAATTTGTTAAATTTGTGTCAGAAACATCAACATCAAAAACTAAGTTTCCTGTCATTATTTTATTGTGCAAAATATGAAAAAAAAATTAATAATGGTTCTGACATTTCTATAATTGGAAACAAAATATCAAAATAAGGAACATGGTAATATAATTGGACTTAGTCCATTAATTAAAGTTTTTAAGGTCATAACCTCAACATAGAAAAACAATATTTTCATGTCTGTTTCATTATGAATGAAACCACGACTATGACTTTTACTACTATGTCTTCAATGGAGACTTAAGATATCTGTTTTTTGCTAGAATAAGATAAGAAAAAGTTGCATAAATTAATGGTAGAATATGTTGTTTAACTCATAATGTCACAATGAAATAAATTTGAAGTGACCCAACCCTAGAAAATTAATATAAGTAACCCTTTCCTATAAATAAAACTTTATCTTTCTTTTTTTTTACATGAAAGTGCAACATTGAAATTTTAAGCATTTGTTTGATAATATACTTATATTATCAGACTGTATTCATAAAAGTTACCAGTAACAAAGATCTTAAATCCAATTCATTTTTTTTCATTAAATTTTAGCTTTAATTTAAAATAAACTTCTTATTTCTTGAAAAAAGTGATATGCAAATGAAAATATGTTGCTTTAAAGAAGTGAAAATTTTTATTCAATTCCAAGGAATTTGTATAAGACTTTGTTGACACCAAAACTTTAATTCTAAGAAATTTGGAAAAATATTTTTTGCAGCTTCTTTGATTTTTTAAAATCTGATTTATAATAAGAATTCTGATTATATTTTATTCAACTATTTGGCAAATAATGATCCAGTGAAAGTTGTAAGATCTGAAGTTAAGTTTCTCATTTTATTAGGAGCCAAGTGTTTTGCTCTCAAAATAAAATGTCTGGACTAACCAAGAATTGATCTTTAATTGTAAAAATCTCAGTGTTGAATTGAAAAACAGATTTCTAAATCTTAATTAGATATGATATATTAGAATTGTAATAATTGAAACTTCCCTCCAAAATTCATAAAAATCTGACAGGAAGAGGGGTTAGCAATAATGGATGAGGTGAAAACAGACATAGCAATTATCAGTTGGCACAGGAGTTGAACCTGAAGAAAACATTATAATTAATGATGAATACAGTATAAACAGGATACAGGATCTGCCAGAGGGGGGATATTCTCACCAGGTAACAGTTCTGCTAGAGGGGGGATATTCTCACCTGGTCACAGTTAATACCTTGTCAACCATACTGCACAGAGTACATGTTCTCATATTTGAAAGCTTAGGTGTTGACAAATGCTTAAGGTAATTAGATTATGGACTTGTCAGTAAGCTTTATCCTCTGTGCAAACTTTTCAGGCATGATCCAAACCTCCACTAAGGATAAAGGTCATCTGGCTCAATTCTATTGCAAAGAATTAATAAAACCAATGAAGAATCAGAGGCGGGATTTAGGGGAGGTTGGGCAAAGCCCCCCTTATGGAGCTTCTTATATGATAAATGCATAGACTTTTCTATTTGCTTCACTCCAAATGTTGGCTTACTGAGCCCCCTCCCCCTTTTCAAAATCCTTGATCTGCACCTGAGAATAATCTATATTTGTGTATATTCATGTCTACTCCCAGGACTTTCATTCAGCCAATTGATAAATAAAACACATAAAATTTTCCAACTCTGACAGTAGCCATGTAGTTTAATTAATAAAAAAAATTAAAGAAAAGAATTAGGTCAAAAAAGAATAACCAAAAACCTAATTAAAGATTTTGCTGTCATAAATGACATCCCTCTATACTTTCTTTCAGCTGAACAAAATGTCATCATGTTTAAAAATAAGGTGCATTTTAATGACTCAGGTAAATAGCTGCATATTGCAATATGCCTTTCATGTTCAGATTGATTTATATCAATTAATTGTTTTACATCTATAAGGTTTTTAATTATTTTATTGTTTCTGATATATATATATATATTTGACAAACAATTTCCTCTTAGGAGTATCTTATCCTGCCAACATGGAATTTATTTATATCTATATTATATAATTAAGTAAAGCCATATTTGCACAGCTTGAGAACCTTGAGATGGCATAAATGTCATGTGAAATACTGGACACTTATTACATATCAAAGGGCAGCATTTTTATTGTTATTCTTCATCTTGGAGCTTGATTAAGTAGTTCAACAATAAGGGAGAAACCTCAGTAGATTTAGGACTTTCAAAAAAAAGGGGAATTTCAGTGGGACCTTTGGAAAAAAAGGAGACATGAAAGTCAAATATCAGAAAAATTTTCCTAGCTCTGCAAGACAAGATGGTATGTTAAACAGGAGCAGGAATTTTGATTTGCAACAGGTCAACTCTTGACCACTCAATGAGTTAATGCATGTCCTTTTCTGTGTGAAATGGTGACAAAGACCATCAGGTTTAACCCTCCCAACCAGACATTATAAGCTCTTGAAGGAGAGGAGTGAATAAGGGCAAAAAATCAAATTAAAAAAAAGAGTGAAAATTGATGATTTTTGTAGCATTTTCATTGATATTCATACCAATTCTTCCTTTTTGGTAAGGAAATCCTCATCTTTATTTCATCGTTTCAGAATCCCTTAAACACTTTATAATACATGCATCTTTAGTCAGACAGCAATGTGTGTACTAAAATTAGGAATTTCATTACAAATTACTTTGTAAACATTTTTCATAATGATTCACACTAGTGAGGGCATACATCTTCAAGATTGACTAACAAACATTCAACATCAAATATTATATCCAGGAAGAAAACAAGTTGATGAAAATACCCTGCTTTGTGCTAGACTGGCAAACTGAGCAATATTTTTAATGTGATAGCCAACAGTCCACATAGAATACATGTAATTCTACTAGCATTCAGAGTTATGACAAACAGCCAACCAATCTTTTCTTGTACCTCAAATGCTGAATTTATGGTGAAAGGGTAGGTAGTCTAAGTCCAAACCCACAACCTCCTACACTCAAGGCAAGCATAAAACCTCAACACAACTGAGGGGGTTTGAATTCATCAACCATGATTTCAAACTTAAATTTTGTTAGTTTTATAGTATACCGTAGTTTCAAAGTATCAGTATTTGTTTCCTCTACAGTAATGGAACTGGTATAGATGAGAAAATTTTCAAATTCTTATTTCTGTATGAGTTTAGAAATTTGTCCCTGGACAATATCATTAAGTTTTTCTCAATATATAATCAGAAATTTTTCTTTAATAAAATATGAAGTTGGAGGGATTTTCTGATTTTTTAGTTATTTCTTACTTCTCATGATCTTCAGGGAGTAATTTCCAAAAATGAAAAAAAAAAAAAAACTGTTCACGAATTTATATTACTTATATTACAGAAAATAGGCTATATTGCAAAAAACACTTTGAAAAAATATGGTAACATTAACTTTCATCCAATTTAAAGATTAAGAAATTCTTTAGAAAGAAAAAAAAATGTAGATACACATCTGAACATTTACATAACAGTAAAAGATAGTCATCAATTTCATCAATCTTATGAAGATGAAAAAACTTGAATGTTTTCACAGCTTTTAACAGTACTTATGTCAATCCTTTATGTTTTTTGTAAGTTTAATATTCATTTTACAGTGTAACAAAAACCCAAGGTACCAACTTTCTTCCCATTTTTCATATCGCTGATAAAACTGACACCAATTTTACAGTGTTTATCACCTATTTGTACAATTTTTCTACATCAAAATTTTCAATCCAGATATTTCTCATCTTAAAATCCACAAAACAAACAAATACTGACACAAAACCAAGGAGTTTTACCTAATAGTAAAGGTAAACATAGGTTAATTATACCTGAATCTTGGTTAGTATAGGGTTGTTATTATCTCTCTCAACAAAGACTGAAGGAGTGACGGGTAATACAAATAATGCATAGACCCCGCTGACCTGTAACGGGTCTCCGATTGGGTTTTACCTGGATTCTTTGAATTAGAACACCTCATTTTCTTTAAATAGTAAAACCCTGGCAACAAAATTATACCTGGTTAAACAACTTTATTGGGGATCCCAACAGTTTTCTTTCTTCCATCACAATTATTGTCTTGCAGAAATGCAGTCATTATGGTTTCACCTATATCATTAGCGTCAATTTGAGCCCTGGGAAAATCAGATGGCAGCTTTTCCTTGATCTGAAAATGAAATTGAACATAAAAACATTTTTTTTTACTTTTGCTGACTACATTTAAGGTACATGACTACATTTTCATAGGTCATTTACATAAAAGTATAACCTACTTGTCAGTCTACTAAATTATTTAATTTTTTATTTTCAGTATAAAATTTGCAAAATTCATCTATATAACACAATAAATGTTGATGGTGAAAAGATAACTTGCCAAATTTGGTATTTAAAACGCTTGCAAATAATGCCTTAAACAAACAGCACTTATCAGTGCATAACAACAAACAATTTAAGATAGCAACCTAAAAATCTAGCGATTATAGCTTAGTCAAATGCAAATAGGATGTATCCTTATTCTTAAAAAGTGATTTAATGGTTTAAATTGTCACCCTGGCAAACAGGTTGACCTAGAATGTCTGCTTTGTATAACCAGGTAGCTTTACCTTTTTGTGTATAGCAAGTGGTTGGGAATAAAACAACTTGAAAATTTTTGATAAAATCTGGAAATAATTTTTGATAGAAGAATAAATTTTCAGAAAAGAGATTACGTCATTCAATATTTGTGATAAAAATTTGTATTGATGTTTGGTTTAATGTTATGATTCACGAATTTTAAGAATCTATTAAAGTAGAAAATGTTAAAAACTAAATACTTGTAATTTAATTTGTCTCTCATACTTCAGAAATTAAAAGTATGCATTAATTACCCTAAAGAAAAAATATTTATCCCAAAGATGATTTAGAGAAAGCCCATCTTTCAACTTTTCATTTGATAGATTTTTAGATTTTAAATTGTCTTTCCCTCATGCAAAAAACAAGATACAGTGATTTTGTATAGATTGACTGTACAATTATTAACCCTTCTCCCAAACCTTCAATTCGCTGATTCAGTATATTTGGACTGGGATTGTTTTTATTAACATCAAATACTATCAATATTATCATTTACTATTCAGGTATTGGATGTAGCCAAGATTTTACAGAAACAAAAACACTTCTAAATCTTAAATTGTTGACACAACCATGACTTTACATTGATTAGGACATAAATGGATAAGATGAACCTTGAGAAAATTGAGAAAAGCTATGTAATTATTTCTCATAGTGAACAAACCAATAAATGTGGGTCAGTAACCACTAATTTGACATAAAATCGGTCCAGTTAATTCTTAATAACAGAAAAGTTGTATTATATAAAAACTGAACTTAATTTTAGGAATTAAAAGATAAACTATTACAACTGACACATAATCTATATATGAATAAAAATAGAATATTCCTTTTAAAAGCTAAATCAATGCAATCAATATATACTTAAAAATGCCTTTATATAACTAAAATTAATATCAATTACTGTCATTTAAAAAAAAATAAAAACAGAGGATATAAAATATAATTTTTCATACAAATTTATACCTTAGAAAATTGTTATTAAAATAATATTTAATGGGAGATAACCCTCAATTTATGAATTGAATATCTGATTGGTAACAAACAAAAACAATAGTAATTTGTACCATAAGACCATTCTAAAAAAAAAATTGTTTGTTGTTACTCCAGAACTTTATTTCTTATCAAATACTGTTCAGCTGAATGTTGAAAAAAATTATAATGAAGAAATTTTATCATTTAGAAACTTTTAAATGAACAAATAAGCTATAACTTTTAAATGGTAGGTGTCAAATGGGTAAAGGTTATAACTTCTAAATAGTAGATGTCAAAGGTTATTCAATTTAATCTGTTTTCAAAGTTTTTTGCTGAGTGTATAACATTAAAAAGATCATATCTTAAGAACAGCAAATTTTTCACAACTGAACTTAATCTGTATCAATTGGTTAATGACAAGATGTAAAAGTTCTAAATCTCACTTGTCATCCAGAAACCTAATAAGCAAACTAGAATCATATACTAGAACAGCAAATGTTAAATTTGTCAAGATTGGGGTCAAAATCCTATCTTTTAAGGTCTATAATGATTAAGTATGAATTTCAAAACTAAAGTTGTGTGTTGTTTCATTTATCATCATGCATAAACATGAGAATTCTTTTATACTGGGCATCTCTTCATTGCAAGGCAATAACAATGCTTATTTTTTTTTATGAAAAAATTTTGTGATTGTTTATTGTTCCCATCTATCATGTTTGTTGTAATGCAATCAATGACTATAACAACCTCTAATGGCTATCACCTGAGAGTAGTAAGCTTTAAATCTGTATTGAAACAAACTTCGTAAAATCTGTAAAAGTACAAAAAGCAACTTTTAGAGCCATAACTTTCTTTTCTTCAATTTCTGAAATGGAAAGAGGAGACCATAATTATTATACAAATAAAAGTAAATGTTTGACACTGTGTCAATATTTGGTCTTCTTTGTTTACCCACATCTCTCAAGCATCAATAAACAGTTTCTTTTATTGAAGAAAGTGGCATTGTTTGAAATATAAAGTGGATTTGTTCAGCTTCTTGTTCTAAATTTTGATAAAAAACATTATGAAAAATCAGTAAACATATTACATTTCTTTTGTGTTATTTTTTTTTCAAATGCAAAATGTTTGTACGATTAGACTCCTACAATTATGACCTAAATAGACACAATAGATCAGACTGAAAATTAAACATTTCACTCATGAAAGTGATCATGAAATTTTGGTTTGCTTAGAAATCTATCAAATGCAAAAGACAAATCAAAAACTGGTTGCCATGATATAACCAAGTCTGCTGAAATCAAGGATATTCATTTAGAGGCAACACTAAATTTAGATGTAAGATAATAATAAATTGCTTCGCCGAGCGCAGCTGGATACGACCGCAGAGGTCCAACCATGAACAGTTGGGGCAAAAATGGACACAATATTCGTGCTTGATACAGGTCTGAATTTGGATTGTAATTCAATATTTGACACATAATAGGTTTCTGACACAGAATAACTGTAGTCAAAGAACTTAGAATTGGTTATATGATTTGAATTTATATTCAATTTTTTGCTTTTGTGCAATACACTATGCTGTTGCAAATTGACCTCCCCCCCTCCTATTTTCAAAAAAAAAACAACTTGAAGGATTTTCTGTTTGATTTCAGAAATCTTGAGGAGAAAAAATTGTCCCCCCCCCCATTTTTTTTAACCCCCCCCTCTTTTTCCCAAAAAAAATTCTTTCCCTCAGTCATGGTCATAATTTCAATTCAAATTTCCATGGAGTTTGCAACCATAATAACCCATTTAAATACATCATAAAAGTCTTAAAATAGAAAATGACTTACAGAATCATAGCTAAAATTAATTTACCTTAATCAGCATTTTTAAAATTATTAAAATAGTAACTTCTGAAAATGAATTGACAGCTAATCACCTAAAGACAATACAAAAGTTCTTTATACATAATTTAAAAGCAGTGTAAGGGAGGTAATTCAAAGTAGTTTTTGAATTACCTCCCTTACACTGTAATTTGTAATTAAGTAATTGTCCATTAACCAGGACACCCTTGTTTTTTCTCACTTTTTTGCCCCTAATTCCTAAACGGTTTGAGCCATAACCCCCCAAAGCCAATCCCAACCATCCCTTTGTGGTGTGGAAACTTGTGGTATAATTTCAGAGAGATCCATACACTGTTCCACAAGCTATTGTCATGAAACTAGAAAAATGCTTATTTGGGCCCCTTTTTGGCCCATTATTCCTAAACTGCTGGGACCATGACCTTCCTTTTGTGGTTATAAACCTTATGTTTGAATTTCATAGAGATCCATTCACTTAAACTAAAGTTATTGTGCGAAAACCAATGTGTCTTTGGACGATGACGACGACGACGCCAACGTCAAACCAATATACGACTGCAAAAATTGTTTGTGGTCGTAAAAAAATGAAAGTTTTGTCATTATTTTTAACCATTTTTAAAGAAATATCAAATAATTTGTGCATTTAAACATATAATAGTAGAAGATAGAAGTCCATACTGTCCTTTTCATTATTGAGATAATAGGGAGCCTACTGGTTAAAGTCCTTTATTGACAAAGAAACCAAAGAAGATAGAAACATTTACATAGGATCTTATACAATGACCTATGAAAAATGATGGAAACTCATTGCCTTATACTCACTCTCCCATCTGACTGCAGAGTGCTCAATTCAAGATGTACAAAACAGATATTTAAAAGATATGATGAATAATAAAGTATGCATCTTCGTTAGACAACTAAATAAAGTAATAGTTTTATTTCTTAATATAACAGTAAATTTCTGAACCCAATCAGCTAAGTATTATCATTATAAAATTCAGTCCTCCCCAAAGTGTTTTGTGTAAAATATTTTACTTGTATTTTAGATAAATTTTAATTAAAACAACTACAAACAAAATTCACTTTTATAATGCAGCATTCAAAGCATTTGAGATTCTTTTTCTTGATGACTGTTTAGCAAAGCACTGCATTCTATATATTAGTTATAGTTAATATTTTCTTGTTCTTCATGGCAAATTTCCCAAAAATATTAAATGCAGCTAATTACTATTACTTTTTATAATGTGATTTTAAAATATTTCTTCGATTACCATTATTACTTGAAAAATGTAGTTCAATTGCCAATTAACCACCCCATGCTTTATATGATGTGCCAAAATGATTTTTCAAAAATGTTTTGCTATAATTTGTTTAACTAAAGTGTAACCATGGTCAAGTACTGTACGATTTACAAACAACAAATATTAGCATTTCTTTTCATTGATTCTTCAATCTTATTAAAATCTTAAGTACAGCATTGTTAAAGCTTGTATGTAATGTGGCAACTAGATTCTCAGGGCATTCAACTTTTACATCCAACTGATACTTTTTTCCTCATTTTTCATTTTTTTTTCAAAGGAAAAAATCTGTTACAAGTTCAATGACTTAATTATATGCCAAAATATTGATTATGATATCAAAAATATAATCTTCATGTGACAATTCTATTTGGTCAAAAAGTCATACACTGGTAGATCGATCAATTAGTCCATCCGCAGAGGTTAAAGGACAAAATGGAAACCTGTCTCTTCAAGGTTTTCTTTTGTTAGAAAACATGTAAGAATGTAAAAAAAACATTCCCTATGAATAAGTATGTATCACATATAAATATCAGTTGGTTTTTTTTTAACAGTAAACAATAAACTGTAAATTCAGATATTTTTGTGTACACATTTTTTTTTGGTGATTGTTGTTGCAAATTTCTCAAAAATAAAAACATAGAAACATTTGTTGAATTTACATGTTCCTCAGCACATCTTACTGTTTTCACTATTCAAAAATAGTAAATAAAAAAAGCATTAAATTAGTTTTTCTTTCAAACAGCCTGACCAGGTTGTCATGAACAGCTTACCAAACATAAAACAATAAATTTCTTGTTTGAATCTTTTTACATTTGTTATGACAGGGCCTTTAGAGCTTGCTGTGCAGTATGGTTTTTGCTCCTTGTTGAAGGATGTACGGTGACCTATAGCTGCTAACTTCCAAATCATTTGGTCTCTGGTGGAGAGTTGTCTCATTGGCAATCATACCACATCTTCTTATTTTTTATATATAAAAAACCCACAACAGGGATGAGAACTCGGTTGAAGCATATTGATATAAATTGTATTGTGAAACTACACTTCTTTCAGTTTTATTACTCCCACTTTTATATTAAATATTTTTTAACAAATTAGAAGATGACTTGTACCCCATTTTCCGAAAAAAGCTGGCAATAAACACCTTAAAAATTAGCTATGGTAAATCTGTTTGCTATCATAGAATACAACTAGAAAAAAAGGTTTCCAATAAAATACATATGTATTTCATTTTATTGGATAAAACCTTGCCAATTAATGATATTAAATAATGATAACCGGTACTAAAAGTAAATCTCATCTGATGAAAATAAATAATTCATAACTACTGCAATATGTCATGTTTTATTAGGAAGTAACTAGAGTTCTGCCTTGAGATAATCATTAGAAATTTCCTCGTAATTATTATTACATAACTCATTTACCTTTTTTCTTCAAAGGTAATACTATATCTTTGTAGATCTGAAAGTTTAGAAATATTCATTAAGTTGTGGAATTGCAGGATAAAGTATATTATTAAGTGCATACTGGTAAAGCAATTCTTCAATAGTATTCTGAAAAGCGTGATAGACTCATAAAGATGCTTAATTTTATTTTCATTACCAAAATTTTTTTTCAATTTTCAGGGATGTCTTTCAATAATTAACTGACCCCAGGGGGGAATAAAACTAAGAAATAGTCAAAAGTTCTTTGCTGGGCATTATACAAATAAAAGAAATCAGAAATATGTCAACGAGACAGCAACCTTACACAATAAAAACCAGGTAACACAATTCCATTACAGTTAGGACCTGGGACCTAAGAAGCTAGAATAATTGCTTCCAAATCCTGCATTCTGACAATTTCTATAAAAAGGGAAAAATGTTATCTTCAATAGTGTTTAATGGTTTTTAAGGGGAAGGGGTACCTTCCCCTGACTATGGGTGTGCAATTTCTCATTTGTAAAGCAGATTAAGATATTTTTGATAATTTTGTGAAAAAAGTGCTGTATCAAAACAAATTTCTGAAGTAAATCAGGAAATCCATTTATATTGTCAATTTGAAAAGTATCACAAAGCAAAAGCATTGTTGTTTTTCTCTCCTCTTGTACACAAAATCCATTACCAGCAAAAGTTAACAAATTATACCTTTAAAATGTTGTACAAACAAAAGATATTTTCCAGTAAATATATATTTTATCATGTTATTTTTTACATCTTGGAAGTGTTATAAGCTTGTTACTCAGTTCAAGTTTTATTAATATAATTAATAGAGAAGCATTTGTGTCTCTACTCTATGTCAAGATATGATGAACCTCTTCATAACTTCTTATTTATTTTCACAAAATCATGTTTTCTGATTAATTCAAATAAAAAAAATGAAATTGAATGTGTATCTTAATATCAAAAACACTCAAACAAACATGAACTTGAATAAATCAATAAATGAAATTGTCAAGTACAAAATAAGTTGTTGCTAGAGCAGTTACATGGGTGTACAAACTAATACCTTTCTGTAAATATACCTTAACAATTTTTATAGTTTGTTCTTATGTTGTGCTGTTACACCACAGTCCAAGGTTAGGGGTAGGTAGGATTCCCGCAAACATGTTTAACCCCGCCACATTCTATTTGTGCCTGTTTCAAGTTAGGATCCTGTTATTTAGAGGTAGTCATGTGTTACTCTTTATCATATTTGGTTTATTGTTAGATTTTTCTTGCGTTGAACTGTTGCACCACTGTCTAAGGTTAGGGAAAGGTTTTGGCGCCTCCTTACATGTTTAACCCTGCCACATTTTGTATGTGCCTGTCCCAAATTAGGAGCCTGTAATTAATGTTAGTTTACATTTGTCATTTCCGGGGGCCTTTTATAGCTTGCTATGTGGTATGGGTTTTGCTCATTGCTGACAATTTTTGGTGACCTTTTATAGTTGCTAACTTCTACATCATTTGTTCTCAGTTGGAGAGTTGTCTCGTTGGCAATGATGTACCACATCTTCTTATTTTTATACTAAAGCTTATGGAAGAAATACACTCAACTGCCATTTTTAATTTTCTCTAATATCCTCAAAATCAAGCTGTTGTAAAAGATACTGTTCAATACAAAATATTATTCCATGATAAAACTTCTTTACCGAAACACTAAAAATTGTTTTGAAATGGAATAAATTCGATAGTGATGAATGCTAAATTGAAATAAAATCACAATTAAAACTTTTTGAGAAAAACAAAAAATACTTTAAAATTTTATATATAATGAAATACTCATGTCTTTGATTTCATATAATCAGATATCGTAAGCATGGGGTATATGATTCTTCTTTTTCATAACCAGAATATAGTGACCAATATGTAAAATTACCTTTGCAGAAAATTATATTGGTGAACAGCCTTACATGAACAACTGTCAAGGTTATGTAAACTGTTGATTTTTGTTGCTTATTATCATATGAAGTAAATAAAAGTAGGAAATATGCTTGGCATTTGTCCTGACATCTAGTAGCTGTTATTTGGAAATAAGGAGTACCTGTTCTCAGTTTATCATTACTATTTACCTTTTCCTATTCCTCTGTTTACAATGCCTCACATCTTTGGCAAGCTTTTCTATAATGTATGCCACAATGCCAGATCACCTAGAGTAAACACACAGCTACACCTGTTCCTAGTAAAGCAAATTGAATTACTAACATAATTCCAGACAGAACCAAACCTAAGGATACTGTAATGGCAGGTTTGCTAAGGTCAAATCATGGCCAGATCACATAGCAAATCAAACAAGGTCTTGAAAGTGTAAACTGTCATTCCATTAGTTAACAGTATATATGTTGGAAAATTGTAAGAATGAACATAAATACTATAATATAACTTCTTTTTATAAGACAAATGAACTGAACATCCTCTCTTGATGTTATACTGTCTCCATAATCATGAACCTTGGATGCAAATTGCTTTAACTAATAAATTTACTTTTTCAGAAAACCAATACATTTATATTTTTCATAAACAATCCATCTTAAGAAAGTAAGATTCTGTAAAACTCTTAAACAGTAACAAACAAAAATTTATTCAGATTAAGTGCTCTGGTGAAATATGTAAGGGAGATAATACAATTTTTCCACTGAAATCAGTGTATTGCAAATTTATGTATTTAGATACACCTTGAGGGTGTTAGCCCGAATGGGTGTATGTGATTTTCACCAAGACATTATTGTCAATGCAGAATAATAGTTTTCAATAATCTAGGAGGGGGTCTTTCAGCGATTTTACCATATGAGATAAATGCAGAGTATCCAATTTCATTTAACAACATCTTAATTGGTGTAAATTAGAATATAATATCAATTTCCATGGAAATTTTCAAATATTTGGCTTACATTTGATTGACAATTTGTTCTTTTGAATAAATTCTAATTCATTACTTATGCATTTCTTGTAAAAATAGGAATATTTATTTCAGTAACTGCTACGTGTTAATCAGTGACTTAAGATACCTATACCAAACTTGTGTTTTTCGATTACTTTTCAATTGTCATTAACCCACAAATGTTCTTTTATTCAAAGTAGGACTCACCAATAATTGGTCTAATATATAAGACACAGAACCTTTCTAGTACAATTTTTCTTTAATTACCCTCTTTTCTAGTGTTTATAAAATTGTAAATGTATATCATCATGATCATTAGATTTAGAAATAATATGCCTGTAGTGAACTCTGGAATATGTCTATGGTTATACAGATAAAAAGATGTTTAAAATTGAATTTCCTGAATGAATTATTTTGAAACTGTTTGATCTTATATATACCTTAAATATGATTCCTCTGCTTCAGTTCAAGCTTGTTAACTTGTTTCTGTTTTTTTTCTGTAAACAGACAAAATTAATAATACATTCACAGGTACTGTCCAAAAATGAAATCAAAATGAACTATTCTTGTTGGTCAACACTATATGTTTTACTTGTGTTTTTTTTCTTTATCAATAAGTAATCATTTTAGGGGTCATGGTAGCTGTGTCACTAAGTGGTAGGGAATGGTTTAGAGCTTGATATAGCATAAATAGCCATATGATATAGACATTGCCTGAACACTGTTTAGATGACTTTTATGTTTTTGTGAGCTTTTTTAACAGATGTCTCATTGGGATGCACCTCAAATCTCCATTTATTTATATACAATGTATATCTATACAGCTTTAAAAGATGACTATTGGATCAACTTAGTTAAAATACAATTTTTTTGTATATTATAGCAAGTATTATTTTGATCGTGAACTGAAGGATTGGCTTTGATGTTTTTGCTACACTTTTGTTTACAACATTTATTTTATGCATTCTACAACTGAAATTCTAGCCTAGTCATGTTGAGTAGGTGTGTAAATAAATTTTAAAACTAAAGAAGTTTTTTTTTACCATCCTCCTTATTTTGAACATGTGTGGCTCATTACGTTTTAAGTGGTTAAGCTTTGCAAAGATCTTCTTTCAGTAAGTTCTGTGAGTGGAATAAAATGGCATTCCCCAGAATATTTTCCTGACATCTAACAACAAACCATGCAATAAACTAAAGTGCTTCAAATCTTTATGATTTTCTCTTCCTTTTTCAAGAGCCCATCAGCTGCCAAAGAACAAAATAGTTGTGTTAGTATGTTTCTACTGTATTATTTATAGGTTTCCATCACAGACCAAATATATCCTAAGAATGTGTCTTTATACTTTTATACAAAAGATAAAATCAATGTATACCTAAAAAAAATCATTATCTTTTTTTTCCTTTTCTTAATAATATTCTGAAAATAACAATATGATACAATGATACAATATGAATTCTTAGGTATAATTCAATTGCTGATAACTATTAATTGTAAGCTAAATATCCTAGAGTATCCCAAAATAAATCAGGGATCATCACCTGATGAAAAAGCAGTCTTCCTTAATATGCTCTGTAATGATGAATTTCTATTTGAGTTGCACAGTAACCAAGATCATAGCGTATTTTCAATGGTTATCCAAAGAAATCAAAATGGTTCTAGGGGCCGTCTTAAATTTGCAGTGAGGTGTGAGATTTTACTCAAAGTTGAAAGTTTCACTGTGCCTTTAAGATAAAGAACAGCAATAAAAACATTATTTTCCATTGATTTAGGTTTTATCAAATGCCAATAGCAAACTCTTGTCTAAATTATGATAATTCTCTTCCATTGCTCATCAGGGGCAGATAAAAGGAGTTGGATTAGGTTCATTGACCGATTTAATATCTGGGATCTGCGGTACAATATGTGACACGCCAAAGGTGATATCATGATATTTACAGAAGCTATATCTTAGGTATTATAATGCAACTGTCTCCTTCCCCTCCCCCACCCCAAATAAAAAAAAAAGATAAAAAAAAATTAAATGAATAAATATTTGTATTTACAAATCAAATGCAAACTTTAACCTTTAGAAAATTCATAAAAATAGAAAAGAAATATTTCTTTCCCTATCTTACAATGAAGTAACATGTGTTGACTACAGTGACACATTCTTGTTTCATCAATATATACACCAAAACAAGGTGACTTCATCACGACTATTGCTTACAGGTAACTTTAATATGCATCGATGATAAAATTTCTTATGCATATGAACCAAGATTAAATAATGCAAGTTCATCTAAGTTCAGTAATTTACATTTTATCATGTTTACAAAATGCAGATTTTAATGCCTGAGTATGGATCAGTATGCATATGTTAAAAGTTAAACGAGTGCATAAGAAATATGTTTTTAATAGAAAGGGAAGTATTTAATAATTCGTTTATCTCAAATGCAATTCTATTATATTTTTATTTAGCATAAAAATTACTGACCTACCACAACATCACTTTGTGACTGTTATTGTTTTGTTTTTTTAGTAAAAGATGTGTTACGGCTAATATGACAGCAACCTAAGAGCTAAGGTTAACCAAAATAGACTTAAGAGGTCATCATGGGGTCTTCAATTAAGGACTCTCATATCATATTACAAGCTTTGGTCTGTTTATTTCTGTCATTTCATAGCTGGTATTTTTTTATGTTGTAAATCCTTCTGTAGATTTATATATCTTTTAAACTCTTAAGTGTTTTGAAGATGGAAGTTTTTGTATTGTGTTTTTAATATTGATATTTTCATGTATATTATCATATGCTCATAAAATAATATTATAACTCTTATATAGTAACATCGAAAAGAGTATCATATTTGTTTTTCTTTCATTATTTTGTACACAAATTAGGCCGTTAGTTTTCTCGTTTGAATTGTTTTACATTTGTCATCTCAGGGCCTTTTATAGCTGACTATGCGGTATGGGTTTTGCTCATTGTTGAAGGCCGTACAGTGACCTATAGTTAATTTCTGTGTCATTCATTCTCTTGTGGATAGTCTTCTCATTGGCAATCATACCATATCTTCTTATTTTTATATATGTTAAAAGATTGCACTGAACAAATAAATTCTTCCAATCAATGCATATTCAGAATTAAAAAATTATTTCATATAAATTCAGAAGTAAATTACAACCATAATTAATTAAACAAACATATCAGTATATGTTTTGCTAACTTTAAATAACTGTTTTATACTAAATTAAATTGTATTGTTTGTTACCATAACGGTAAAAGTTTTCTCCAACATTTTCTTTCCGATCTAGCACCTCAAATCTCATATTCCACAACTTCTGGATAGATGTTGTAGAATTATGACTTGGTTTTTATGATCTTGCTTGATTAATTGCAGTTATTGAATGTATGTGCTGTGTTTTCATATTCTTCAAGGTTATCTCCTATTATTTTAACTTCCTTACTGTCAACGCAAAATGGTCACCTCCATTTCAAGTTATTCCTGAATTGATATACATACAAAACATATCCACAAGCTTAAATAGATAATCCAATTGTTTCAGAACCCACAGAACTTTCAAATCCATTTGAGAACAGATGACTGACAGCAGTCTTCTGCCTGGCATTGTCATTTTTTTCTAAGCATAAAAAAGTCCAACTTCAAAGTGAGACACAATTTCTTTAAATAGAAAATTATAAATGATGAAATTTCCTTATATATAAATAAATTTTGGACATCTTGAAGTTATAAATGACAGAGGGGTATATGACCACTTATAGGTAATCATTTGAATATAAGGTAGGTTGGGTAGACAAGTCTAAACATGTTTCTTTTTAACAACAGCATCACATTAAGGATATATATACATGTATCAAACAGATACGTCTATTTAAATTGTTTACCTTTGTTAAACTTTAAAGGTATATAAGTACTTGATGAAAAATTCAGTTATGCATTGTAATCTTTTGTTGGGTTTTAAGATGACATCGGCTTCTCAAAACTTGCAGATATGTAACTAACTCTCATACCTCCTCATAAGCTACTTCACTTAGATTCATTAATTTCCTCCATTAATTAGATGTCAGGAAAGGCAATTTTAATTTAATCGATAATATATTTATATAAATATATATAATTTCAAAAAGTACAGATCATAAGAAATCATTTAAATCCCAAATAAGAAATTTTATTTATGGCCCATAGCTACCTGTATTAGTCTCACAGAATTTTCTTTATATATGTGTACATGTATACAAAAAACCTTTTTAAAAGTGCAAAAGTTTAATTAAATTGAAGTCAACAACATAGTTTTACTGATTATTTAGAAGGCAAAGTGCTTTTTTAATAGACATAGGAATATGTATTCATTGGGTGACAAAGGGGCACCTTACATTGGCAATCATACCACATCTCCATATTTTTATATCATTTTGCAATTCTATGACATATTTTGTAAACAGTTGCTCTTTATAAATAGTATCTGTATTTGCTCAGTACCCATTTCTGCGCCTTTTACAACCAATTACATTGCAAAAGTATAGCTAATTTCCTGTATTGTTTTTAACATAAATTTTATACAATTTTGTGCAATAGAAATAAACTTCTGACTGGGTATATGCTCGAGGTATATATGCCATGGGTTTTCCTTTCTCATATGCTATTGAGTTGACAATAATCTTGAACCATATTATTTACTTGTACCAAATTTTAATTACATCAAGATGACTCTCATTTACAGTGAAATTTGATACCATAGTATATCTTTCGGAGATCGGCGGAATATAACGACTGACATTAGACTGACATTATTCGGTTAAAAAATGGCTATAAATATCATAATTGTTCATCTGATATAGAACTATACACAATAGAAGATGTAATATTTCCATTTAATGGGCTCGCATGATTGATTGATTGATTGATTGTTGGTTTCTTAAGGTCCTTGGGCTCACATGAAGCATATTACAATATTAGACATTATTTTAGACAACAGCAAAAAAACTATAATCGAGTAAACAAACGACTATTACGATATTGATGAGGAACAGCATATCAAAATTTAAGTACTGTAAATAGTTAAAACAAACTCAGACAAATGTCCTTTTGTTCTATTCTATCCTATACTTATACAAAAATTTAGAGCATGTTACTAATGTATTGCTAAAAGAGTGGGTCTTTTTTGAGAAATTACTATTAAAAAAAAGGAGACTAGAAAAACAATGCAGAACAAATATAAAAGTCTGATCAGGTGATTCAAAGGGATTTTACCAAAGGGATTGAAGAACTTATAGCAATTATTTGTTGTATCCAACATTCTTTTCAGGCCATAAAAATGGCAAAAATCAACCACATATACTAAAGACAGTGAGTAGTACATATGAAACAATTTAATCTAACATTTGACCTGAGATAGAAGTGCAGAGAGCCATCACAAATGAAATGATATCATGATCAAAATATCACCATGTGATACATGTTATTTAAAAGTAAAGAAAAGCTAATTGAAGTCTTCAAATAATGCCTATAAGAGTAATAAGATCTTTCCACCTGTCCGTGAAAAAGCCTTTCGATATTGTTCTAATTATATTTTTATCTTCCGCCACTTTTGTTTTTCTGAAATGTTGCTTTTGTAACTAACACTTATTGTCCTTTTGAAACTCACCCTTTTTAACCAATATTTTTCCAGCTATCTGTCATGGCTGTTAAACTTTGCTTATATTTTAGTGTTTTTTCGAATAAAAAATTAGTTTTATTTTTTAGAAAGAAAATTTACGGTTGTATCTTGCAAAATTTAATTTAATAATTTTGTTTAATTGATATCTATTATGTGGCAGTATGTGTCACAGTTTTTTTTTATCATAGTAATTAGCAAGTCACTGGGATAGATTTTTAAAGTTTTTATCAAAACATTAGGGGATTAAGCATTGTTTAATTTTTTTTTTAATTTGCTACATGTAATAAGAGCACTATTTACATGTCTTGTCATGTTGATGAACGTTTGATTAAATAGTGTTACTAAATTTTGGATAAGCAGTTAGTGTTCTGTAAACATAAACTCACACTGGATCTATAAGATTTTGACATTGAATGTAAAGGCTCACAAGATTACAAAGAAAGCAGTTGATTTCACACAGATCAGATATTTCCAGACCAATATATATCTATGGCTCACAGCAGACAGTTGGTGGTTGAATCACCGACTACGAGACCAACTCTTATAATGACGGCAAATGCACAACAGAAAAATGCTGAATATGAGAATACATACAAGCTTGGACCTGATGCTAAATTCGGAGCTGACAAAATAAATAGTGTTATTCAGGAGATTTTGGAAAAGGACCTAGCAAATATGACATATAAGCCAGAACTTTGTGTAAGTCAATCAAAATTATTAGCAGAAAAAATCAAACAGGCGGTTAAAGCTCAGGACTTTGAAAAATACAAACTGGTAGTGATCGTATCGATAGGCGAAAATCAAGTTAGTCCGTCTGTGTCTTTCTCAAGTCAATGCATATGGAACACAAGTGCTGACAATTATTCAGAATATTCGTATTGTAATAACTCACTTTATGCTGTTGGAAGGGTGTATGCAGTTTCTATAGACTAATTAAGTAGTATTTATATAGTTACACGGTGCTTTAATAATTATTCAAAATCATTACTTTTCAGTCAAATGTGTTATTGAATTTTTGAAATTGTGGATCTCGCAAATACATTCAGAAAATTGTAAAAAAAATTGTTTGACTGTTAAATATTTCAATTCAAATGGAACTTATATTGATGCACTGATTGGACATACATTAAAAATGTACAACAAATTGACTAAATGGGATTTTGAAGGTATATATATGTTTGGCAACAAACATAGAAGTGTCATGGTGTATAATTTGGCTTGTAAATAAGTTTGTTTAAAAATTGTTTAATTTTTTTGAAAATTTTGTATTTTGTAAAAAAATGTAAATATTTTTTTTTTAATTTATTTTTATCTATGTTGTCATGGTGTGTACTTTGGATTATATGTTTGTTTGTGTCATTTGGTTTATAAAATATGTTACATTTTTTTGAAAAATTTAAATTTTGTATTTTGTTAGAAATTTGTTCATAATGTTGTTTAATTAATTTTTATTTATAGAAGTTGTGGAAAGTACTTAACGTGTATGATCAAAGTAATTACTTTTGAAATATTAAATGTAATTAGTATGTCATTAGGATATTCCAAGTTTTTATCAAAACTTTAGGGGATTATTAAAGGCTTTGTTTAATTAGTTTTTAATTTACTAATGAAAGCACTATTTACATGTTTTGTCACATTGAGTAATTTTTAGTATTAGTATATAATTATATTTTTAGAATAGTGTTACAAAATTTTGGATAACCAGTCAATGTTTCCGAAACATAAACTCAAGCTGCTCATGTCACTTATATTGGATCTTTTAGACTGTCCACCAGTTTATCAATTGACTTTGTAGTGATGAGACAAAATTTACTTCTGACTCATATTTTATGGTTGGAAGAACATATTGAGAATCAATTTATTTTTAAGACATTTTTTTTGTTTGAAATTAAGTTTGTTTATAAATTAGTATTTATTTTATATTGATATTGTCAACAGATTCTTTTCCTTTGTATTTGATATTTGGCTTTTATACTTTGTAGTTTAATTAGAATATCATTATTATCATTTGGCATTGCTTACAAATTAATTTATTATCATTCCTCAAAATTGTTATTGTTAATTAAATTATGAAAACCTTTCTTGCCATTTTGCTATGACTATCAGAACATTAAGTCTAGCAATAGACTGACCCCCTGTTCCTTAGCTCAGGTACATATTTAGTAAGCCCCTTATCTAACATAGCTCTGGATTTTGTGACATATATCCCTGTATGCTGCTTTTCTTGCTATGGCTTCTCCTCAGAATCCACATACAATTATAGTAACATCCTCAAGATGATCTGTTCAGTGTGGACCAAAGTCAGTTACATGTATTAAGGTTTATTTCCCTTTTTTGTTTGCAGCAGAAAACGTTATGTCAGTGTAACTAAGAAACCATTTGATAAGAGATCCTTGATCTTTGATTGAGGTCAAGGTTAGTCAATTGAACATTCTAGATTTTGACCTTTGCTGTAAATGATCAAGCCATTAGGTCTTTAGCAATAGGTTGAAAGACAAATGACATTTAAGAAAATGGAATGTGACCTTGTGTTAACTGGAAGTAGCCATTTTAGCACTAATATTATGTAAAAGTATCTAGAAACCATATATGTTTAGAATCAGCGTGAAGTAATCTTATCAAATGAACCAAAATTGACTAGAAAAAGCAATCATTTTTCCCTTATTTCAAGCAAAAGTAAAAGAAACCATATATTTTATTAATATATATCAAAGAAAAGAACAATACAATTATATATTTGGAATCAGATCTTCTGACACAGTTTTTTTTTAACATAAAAGAAGACTGTGTCTAAGGACACATTGCCCCCTCTCAAGCTTCCTTTTCACAACAAAAAAATGGGATGGACAGAAAGACTGAAGGACAGAAAGACAGAAGACAGAAGGACAGACAGTCAAGGGTAACACTTAATGGCCCCTTCCCTGGCGACAGCAGGACATAAAATAAAAACAAGAAGATGTGGTATGATTGCCAATGAGACAACTATCCACCAAAGTTCAAATGAAGTGGATGTAAGCAATTAAAGGCAACCGTAGCACCTTCAAAAATGAGAAAACCAAATCTGTATAGTCAGCTATAAAAG